ACTCCAAATCTTTTTATGCTTTATGACATTAATAACTTTCAAATTTTTGTGGACAATAAACAAAGTCTGAACGTGTAATGGCGCACGTAATAATTTTTCGCCACCCTGTACATATAAAGAGTAGTAGAAGTAATTGCAGAACTATACGTATTGCAAGTTCTACGTTTTCAGTGAAACAACGGCGTCAAAAACACTTTTGAGGTCCACCACAGCAAACGTAAGTAAAATTCGCTTCTTCGTAGCTATCACGTGATATTGATTGGACTTCTGCTACTGTTGCGCCCGATAGCACGCCCACGCTAACATTATTGGAAATATTTCGTCCACCAAGCGTTGGGTGTTTACGGCTCAAAACCCACGGAAGTGAAATGAGGAAGGCGCCCCCAGCAAAATTTCTCTGATCCGATTCGGCAAAAATAACCAGAACGGGTGTTGTCGCAAAAGGTTACTGTGAATCTATATCTATGGTCCAGTTCACACCACCATTTTGGAAAGGCACATCTCGACGCCGACCGAAATCTTAAAAGCACACCCCACGATCAAACTGGCGCGACTCCTGCGCATGAAAACGGAAGCAGGCATGCGAAGCGAACCACAAATGAAGGAAACAGGGCGAAAATTTGTCGAAAACGACAATGTTATGGGCTTACCTGCTTTGCCGTAGACAATAAGTTAGTGTGTACGGAAGAGACGTGATAGGAGAAAGTGCACAAAGAATCAGAGAGTGTAAACACCAGCAGCCGAAGACGAAGAAAGGGAAGAAAGTGGGCGGACTTGAGGTAGCCTTATTTTGATCCTCGCTGCACATTTTAATTGGGAGAATGGGTCATCTGAATCTCTGATAAGCAGCTATTCTACCCACCAAACGCTTGATCCCCTGAATTCGTCGTGATCTTTAACTATACCGATCCCGAAGTTATACGCACAAATAACATGTTTATATCATCAATGATTGGCCAATAGAAACTACGCCCATATAGTTTAGATGGTATGTTACTCGATCTCTGGTACATAAATTAGATGCGCACTTAGACTATGACTTTGAAGGAGACATTCGCAGACTGTGAACAAGGCAAGATGAGGGCTAGAGAATGGGCACTTTGCAGGGCAATTTCGTGCACAAGTATGCAAGGTTTTATCAGCAACATAGAAGACAAAGCACATCAGATTAGCAATATTCAAACGACATATTTCTAAAAACCCACGAGCGAGCTCTGACTGGAGAAAAATACGAAATATTCCAAATTTCAGGTTTATTACATGCATTACACATATGTATTGAAAGTAATGGCATGTAAAGGAACAAACGAAATGAAAAAATACACAACGTATAAAAAATGGAGGAAACATGTAAATAGTTGGCAATGTGCAATTCGTGAGTACGGGCGTGTAGTGCGTAGGTGTTTGTGACCAAGGTCAATGTCATCTCGGTGGAAATTCAACGAAGGCGAAAAGTATTTTGTAGTTCGTGGAATGGGGTTGCATTTCGAACCTAGCAGTATCCCTTTGAAAGAGAACTTATCTAGAATCGCGGTCAACCGTCCGTTTGCAGTATTCGGAAAGTCGCATCGATGTTGGGCATGATTATCCGTAACTTAGGAAAGTCCGAGAGGAGGATGGGATTGAATGTATGGGAGTCGAATCGCCCTTAACGACCGGTTGCGTTGAAGAGATGATTTGCGATTTATTTTTGATTCAAAAAAGGCCTAAAAAATAGGGAAAATTGGAGGGTTAGCCCAATGATGAGGCATATACACCCCTACCGCCCGCCCACCTCGCGCTCGAAAATGGGCGGCGTTGGGTTGTGTCGACTGTGAAAATTAATACTATGAAGCGGTCATAATGACAGTGGTGCTAGGTGTTGTATGGAGACTCTTCTAAGGGAGGGAATGGGGGTGGGGGTGGAGTTGCGAAATTTTTGGAGCAGTGCAGATGATTGACCCTGACTGGGATATCACAGAGGATCTATCAGAAATGGGGAGCTTTGCTGGAAGATCTCGCTGACTTCTTTAGTACATACAGAGCTCTCAGAAGGATTTGAACAGGTAATGATGGAGGTGATGGTCGATTCTTTTTATGGCACATTATGGAGAGTTGCTAACAATAAGTCATCAAGAATAGTGAGTTTAGGGCTGTTTTAGTGTTTGTTTTTTGTCTATTCACTTCATCTTTCAAGATTTTATAGGACTTGAAAAAGTGATGAGAAGCGCATTCTTTTCTCACAAAAGACTGATGCTAGTTTCTCAATCGCTAAGTTTCATTTGCTCGATAGTCAACTTGGAAGTACCGTGAGGCGAAAAGAAATCATTGTCTCTAGTACATGTTTTTTTTCGTTTTCCCCTCAATCGAAGAACCTTTTTATAATTGTCTCTTTAGGTCCAGGAACTGCTATATGTAGCTATGCATGTAGCTAATGCTTGCGATTCGTTCGAGCTTCAAAAGCTGAGTTCAACCTGGATTAGAGCCCTTGCTTTGAACACTCTACCGTGCTCACCGACGACCATCAAAAGGCGCGTATGAGGGTGAATATTTGCAAAAATGAAGATCGAGTGTAAAGGCTGACAGGAACGCAATGACCATCTTACGTCATCGGTGATCTCTTCACTTGTCGTCAAAGACAATGAGTCTTCCATACCAGGATGAGCGGTCTAAACTAAACTTGCAATTCAATCTCGACTAGTTTATTCAACACAAACATTCATCATGAATATCTATAACATTGAACAGAATAAATAATACAATGTAGCAATCGCCAAAAACCGGTTTGCTCGATGACTGAAATTTCGACTCCAATTTCCAAAAGTTAGGTGAAATTGGATTCTTCGGAAAACATAAATAAACAAATAGATAGTGTTCTCAAATTGAAGAAAATGGCATTATTTATGCTCTTCACCGATTTCTATTAGGTTGTCCCATAAGTAGTGTCGGTTTATTCACGCAGAAAATATTCCCCTAGTTCCCCAAGCTCTCAGAAAATGTCATTTAACATTCAAAAGAGAATTGTCTGCTCAGGCCAAAAACTCGACATGATTCTCAACGAATATGTAACTAAAGCGATTGAGGGAATACGGCAGGAAATGCGCTCTCGAGTGTCACTTAAAGCAACAGTCCAGGCAGGGTTTCAACTACTTGGTCATTAGGCGGTCAAAACATGCCCCAGCCCAACTAAAGTTTATAGGAAATGTCTTTAAGTTCAAAACCTACCTCTAAAATGCGCTGGAAGGGGTCGAAGTCCTCTTGGAGGGGGCGGATCACCCATACCGAGGCGGATCGCCCAACATACGCTGTGCAGAGCGCTTGCTCGACTAGCGGTCGTTGCGGGACCGCCGCGCTGTATGAGGTCGATTCCATAAGAACGCAATTGAAGCGCTTCAATTTCGATTGCTGGCAAATAGTTATGTATTTGCAAGCATGCATGGCTATTTGCCAGCAGTTGCAATTGGAGCGCATGTACTACGGGCAGGTTCGGACAACTCGTCCAACACACGTCTCCCTAAACGGCAGGGGGAGTCCCTGTCTAAGCCCCTGCCCGACGTTTTTTTCTACTTTTTCTTTCTCCATTGACCAACTTCTCACCTGCAACGTCATTATAGGTGGTCCTTACCCGCGAATTCGTTCCTGGATTGTTGCTTTAATGTAAGACAGTGGTGCTTTAGAGGAAGGATTTCAGTTCAAAAATCGCTATGCCTTATGGGTCGAGCAGAAAAAAATTCAAAAGAAATACGGCGAAGCTTTCCGACAACCTAATAGGGAATGTTTAGAAGAGGTCATGAGTAAGTAGAGGGTACATCATGATTGATTTCTCCCAAGGGAAATAAAGTTAGAGCTAGTTGTCGGTTTGGTCAATTTTTGTCGGCTGGACCTCCCATTTCGCAGGCCTAAAATTTGAAAACCCTGGAACAAAGTGGAAGAAAACATAGCATCTTGTAGAGCAGACAATTCTCTTTCGAATGGTATATGACTGGTGTAAAAACTTGGAGATTAGGAGAAAATTTCTGTCTAAAAAAACACCACTTATGAGACATTCTTATAGAAATCGAGGAATATTCGAAACCATAACGCAGAAGCGTATGCACTAAACTATGTCGATATGGAACACTCCTCCAAAAACGAGAGTGGGTGCAGAAATGAAAGAGCGTGACGCGACAACTACGAGTCTCAGAGGTCCGCCATGTGATCTGAGAGGCAGTGATGCTGTCGTTGAAACGACATCTATTTTCCGCATCATTGAAATTTTTTTCTACAGGTAGATAAAAGAAAGTCAACCCAATGACCGGTGGCGAGAGGAAGGAGCGAACATACAAGCCATTCGTAAAAGGATGAAGGAGAAAGGCGTTGACCACTCAAGTCCTTTTTGGGATGCGCCACGCACTCTACATATATGAGGAGCTGTAGCTGTATTTTGAATGCGATGAGGTAAATGCAATGGCTTGTAGGGGCCAGCCAATGTGAGAGCCAATATTAAAGATTTCATCTTCCCACGCTAGCCCGGCACCAAGTGGCTGACATCGGATTGATGGCTCGATTGATCCCGAAACGTACGTTTTGCGCGAAGAAGGAGCGTTAGAGGATGAAGAAGCCTTAATTTGCCCTACGGAAATTCTATCCCCACATAATCAAATTTACTCTATTCATTTGACGTATTAGGATTTAGATAAGGGTGCAGAAAGAGACAAAGCAAATGGCTGCAAGACAACCGGAGGTGATGGTGGGTGAAGAGTTCTGAACCAAAATTGCATAGACTTTTATAGGGTTGGAAGAAGATATTATGAGAAAAGATAATTAGGAAGCAAAAGACAAAAACTGTTTGAGTGACAGGTTCACTATCGTTTAGTTTAGTGAAAGTCAATGATACCAGTAAACCGAAGAAATTTCTAGCAGTTGCGGACAGTTGGCTTATCGTATTATGGTTGACACATCACTGCTACTCTATACTGTTTACTCACTTCGCGTTGAACTTTTCTGTTTGTCAGTGAAACCCTGAGTGCTACCGAATTTTTTATCTCCTTGATCAAACAAATCACTTATCAGTTGAGAATTCCCCCAGGAATTCGTGTCCAGCGACGAGTTTTCCAGAACAGAGTGGCTGCACCATGGGATAGTACATTAACACGTAGCGATCAACGGGCATTGCGAAGGGAACTCATAGAATGAAAAAATGACGGGATGGGGGCGGATCGTGGGTACGGCAAGCGCTTCCCTGTGTTGACCCTTCACGCCGCATTAATTTTTTTTCAAAGGGGCTATGGCAGCACGTGAATTCGGAATGGAACCAGCTGATTATTCTGTACTATGTTCAATGTCATTTTTCTCCGCCTAGGGTCTTCCCCGGCAGAAGAGATAACTCGAAATTGACGTGTCAGACATTAATCGACAGTGCAACAACAGAGCTTTCAAAAAAAATCTGTCAAAGAAGTGCTACCACAAGAACGCTAAGATGAGAATGGAGCGGTGCAAATGAGATGCGAATTTGAACAGAACATCACACATCTGTTTTGGTATGAGCAAAGATGAACTTTACGGCCTATTGTTTCACAGAACAGTTGTTCTCCTTGCTGTGTTGTACCTGAACTGGAGTACCTCAACTGAATTTGAAGTTCAACGGTAAAATTTCAAAGGTGCATCCCAGAAGTAATTCAGGTGGACCAGTCCCTTCCATGGATCCCTCCAGAATGGAACTGTCCACAAAACCTAGGATATTCTACTCTCTGTTCGATAGTGCACAACTATAGTGCTACGGCCTTATCATTCGGCCTCCTGTGCTGATCCTGCTGCTGGTGACGTGGTGGTGCAGACGCGGTATTCTGCGTTTTGCCCATGCTCTCTTTTACATCTTTGCTCGAAGTTCCAGACGCTTTTGATCCTTGACTCTTGCTGTTATGAGACGTGCAAAAGCATTCACTGAATTGTTGAATTGTTTGGGTTTTCCTGAAATTGGGTAGCATTGGCCCTGTTACTGTTACTATTCAAGACTGGCCTTGCAGCGAGATATCTTCCCACCACTGGAAACGTCCAAGAAATCAAGCCCATTGAGGACCCGAGACAACTTCTCTTATGGTTGGCATATCTACTTTTCATTTTGCTCGCATTCGTCAAAAGCTAGGGATTTTCATGCTTGTCAACCTCTCTCCTAGTATGTGTGCTAGAATAAGTTGCAAGGAAGTGCGCTCGATAGCAATCTCAAACGACGGATTACCCCTTTGGCGACAATAGCACCCACCGGTAGGGTCACTCTGTCCATCGCGTGGGACAATAGCACTCAATGATGGGTCCTAAAAATTTGTTCATTGCGCATTTTAAACGTATTTACATACCAAGATTGAGGTCAAGCCTTATGAATTCTGTGATTAGAGTTGCTTACGAGAATGTTTGATGATTGTTAAAGGCATGCCCCAGGATCACATTGGTGTGTGTATTGGTGCGAAATGGGCCGACAGTAAAGAAAAAAAGGAAAAGAGAATCCAGAAAGAGAAAGAAGAAGAATAAAGATTCATCGGCACCTCACGTTGAAAAGGGCCTTCACTCACCTTATTAGGTTTGTGCCTAAGGGAATGAGAGACTAAGCGCGAAGAGGAGAGTATGAGGCGAGAGAGCGCTACAGATGAGAGAGCGCCAGACAACAGCCTGATAAGAAAAAAACTCTGCAGCTTCAGCAGCTTACTTTGCAAGGCCCAAGCGCTCTTGTCGGTTGGTTTCCGTGCACGAAAACGCCACATTTGTGATTGTCCTCTAGGGGTCTATACTACAGACCGAAGGGAAGCGTTCACACGACCTCTGCCTGGGTTGTGCCTTTAATACTCCCACCGATTAAGTCCCACCAGTTATAGTCCCCGTCAACCGCCGGGACCTTCCTTTCCTGCGCAAGCTTTCTATCCTCCGCTATGGTCCCTTCCTCCTGTGACACCAACACCTGGAAGTGACGCGTATGCAACACAATGGTGTTTCATACAGTAGAAGGGACACAATCATGATATGACGGTAGATTTTTCGCTTCCCTTCCTTCATCCTCCCTTCCTCTCTCCACTGCCCTCCAGCTGCCACTGCAGCACCATGTGGAATGAACGGAAGTGTGCTAAGCAGGTGTTTATATAGCCCTAAGAGTGTTATCACAACTATCCTGCTACAAAACATTGATATCTCAAATCCTGTAAGCTACCCGATTTGTTAGCGGTTTGTTTATCCCATGAGCTTCCTTCTCACTCACTTCATTTTGCGGACGGACACATCCTACTATATATAATCGGCTAAGCGGTTGTGTGTGTGTCTGTGTGTGTGTGTATGTGTTTGTCTGTCTGACCGGAAATTCATAGCTCGGGCACCAGTGGTCGTCAGGAGTTGGTTTCAAGATATGATATAGGGGGTGGGACGGGAACATATTTGGTGGGGTACAGAAAGTGATAACAACTGATAAGGGCTGATAAAAGGCGCTAGAACGCAAGTGTCGCGAAATTCATAGCTCGGGCACCAGTGGTCGTCAGGAGTTGGTTTCAAGATATGATATAGGGGGTGGGACGGGAACATATTTGGTGGGGTAAAGAAAGTGATCACAACTGATAAGGGCTGATAAAAGGCGCTAGAACGCAAGTGTCGCGAAATTCATAGCTCGGGCACCAGTGGTCGTCAGGAGTTGGTTTCAAGATATGATATA